TTGCCGGGCAAATTATTGTGCGACACCGAGTACGCGTACGCAGTTGTAAAAATTGAGCTTTGTATGAACACGGACCTCTGTGGAGTGAAGTATGCCCGAGTATGTGGGAGTCTTTACCAGATGCCCTAACCACCTCAATTGGCTCCTTTCAGTGTAAAAGAGTGGTGGCGGTTCTACTCCAAATCCCTCCCGGATGACTGAACTTCTCACCCTATCTCTAAGGGAGAGTCCAGTTACCCTGCGGAGGAAACTAATTTCAACCGCTTGTATCTGTGATCTCATTCTTTCGGGCCCTACCCAGAGTTTGTGACCATAGGTAAGGGTAGGAACATAGACCTAACAGTAAACAGAGAGCTTTGCCTTACAGCTCAACTCCGTCTTTACCACAATGGACCGGCACAAAGTCCGCAATACTGCAAAATGCTGCACTAATCCATCTGTCAATTGCACACTTCATTCTTCCCTCACTCATAAACAAAACCCCGAGATACTTGAAGTCCTCCACTTTAGGCAGAACATCACCCTTGACCCAAAATGAGCAATCCATCATTTTCCGGTTGAGGACCATGGCCTCAGATTTGGAGGTGCTGATTCTCATTCCAGCCACTTCACACTTGGCTGCGAACCGCTCCATTGAGAGCTGGAGGTCACGGCACAATGACGCCAACAGGACCACATCATCTGAAAAGAGCAGAGATGGAATCCTGAGGTCGCCAAACCAGAATCCCTCCACCCCCTGGCTGCACCGAGAAATTCTGTCCAAAAAAGTCATGAACAGAATCGGTGACAATGGGCGGCCCTGGCTGAGTCTAACTCCCACCCTGAAGGGGTCAGACTTACTACTGGCAATGCGAACCAAACCCTTGCACCACTTGTATACGGCTGGAATACCCCACAGCAACGGGCCCCAATCCCATACTCACAAAGAATGCCCCACAATGTACCCCGAGGAACACGGTCGAAAGCCCTCTCCAAGTCCACAAAACACATGTAGACTGGATGGGCAAACTCCCATGACACCTCGAGGACTCTAGTCAGGATAAAGAGCTGGTCCACTGTTCTATGGCCAGGACGGAACCCGCATTGTTCTCCCTGGATGTGAGGTTCGACCAACGATCTAACTAGCTTCCCCAGTACCCCTAAATAAACCTTATCAGGGAGGCTAAGGAGAGTCACTTTCATTTAACCTTTATTTAAACAGGTTAGTCCCATTGAGCCATGATGACTCATTTACAAGAGAGACCTGGATTTTAACAAAGAGTGATAATAATAATAATAATAATAATAATAATAATAATAATAATAATAATAATAATAATAATAATAATAATAATAATAATAATAATAAGTGATTATGATAATGCCCTTGTGATTGGAGCACACCCCACCCCAGGATGTTGCAAAGGCGTGTCAACCAAGACAGCCCAGCAACATTCAGAGCCTTTTTAAATCATGTTGAATCTCATTCTTTCCCGGAGCCCTGCCGCTGCAGAGCTTTTTCACTACCTCGGCGACCTCAACCACAGTGATGGATAGATCAGCGAAATCCCAGTCTCTACTTCCTCCATGGAAGACGTGCCGGTGGGATTGAGAAGGTCCAAGAAATATTTATTTCACTTCCCAACAACATCATTGGTTGAGGTCAACAGCACCCCACCTTCATTGAATACAGCGTTAGTTCAGAGCTGCTTTCCTCTCCTCAACTACTTGATGGTTTGCCAGAATCTCCTCAGAGACGACTGAGAGTCTTTATCCAAGGCCTCACTGAACTCCTCACACATTCAAGCTTTATCCTCAGCAAAAGCCAAGGCTGCAAAATGCTTGGCCCTCCAGTACTCCTCAGCTGCCTTTGGAGTCCCACCAGCCAACAAGGCCCAATAGGACTCCTTCTTCAGCTTGATAGCCTCCCTAACCCGAGGTGTCCACCACTGAGTTCGAGGATGGCTACCGTGAGAAGCACCAACAACCTTGCGGCCACAGCTCAAGGCAGCTACTTCAACAACTGAAGCACAGAACATGGCACTCAGACTCAATGTCCCCTGCCTCAGCTGGGATGCGGTTAAAGCTCTCTCGGATGTGCGAGTTGAAGATCTTTTTGATGAATTCTTCTGCCAGGCGTTCCCAGCAAACCCTCACTACACATTTGTGTCTACCTGGTCTGTCTGACATCTTACCCCACCATCTGACCTAACTCACTACTAGGTGGTGATCAGTTGACAGCTCAGCTCCTCTCTTCACTTGAGTTTCCAAAACAAATGGCCACAAATCAGATGACAGAGCTACAAAGTCAATCATCGATCTACGACCTAGGGAGTCCTGGTGCCAATTGCACTGATGGACACCCTTATAACATGGTGTTCGTGATGGACAAACTATGACTAGCACAGAAGTCCAACAACAATATGCCTCTCCAGGTCACAGTCAATACCCACGTGGGCATTGAAGTCCCCCAGCTGAATACAGGTCCCCAGCTGACGTACCTTCCAGCACTCCCACCAAGGACTCCAAGAGGCCAGATATTGCTAATTCGCGCGTAGGCACAAACAGTCAGAGCCCAACCCCCCACCCGAAGGCACAGGGAAACCACCAACCACTGGGGAAAACTCTAACACACAGGCACCAAGTCAGGGGGTTAAGAGTATACCCACAACAGCTCGACACCTCTCACTATGTGCGACTCCAGAGTGGAATAAAGTTCATCAAGGAGATTGGTTCCAGAGCCCATGCTGTATGTTGAGGTGAGCCCAACTATATCTAGTTGGTACCTCTCAACCTCACGCACAAGCTCAGGCACCTTCCCCACCAGAGAGGTCACATTCTATGTCCCAAGAGACAGCTTTTGGTAAGCCAGTGTCAGAGCGCCAAGGCCCCTGTCTTCGACCAATGTCCATGGCATCAAACACCTGACTTGTATGGCCCCTCGTGCAAGTGGTGGGCCCACAAGAAAAATTATTGTTGTTTTTTATTTGTTTATTCAAAATCTAATGCATTTTCCAAAAGTTTTGGACTATCAATTTTTGCATTCTACTCTGCCAAGATATGGTGAAAAACATGGATACTTGAGTTCAGGAACAAACACGTGTTCAATGTGCTTTTTCTAATGCTGTCACATTTTGCACCTCATGGTTACTGTTTGATTATTCGCGATGTAGAAGAAAAATTATTATATTTTTATTTGTTTTTCTTCTATAATTTAATTTTCTGAAACAAACTTTCAGATAAATGTCTTGCTGCTTAACTTCATCATTATACACAAATTTGTTGCAAATGATGCTCAACTACTACCACACCAGGTTCAACTCAAAAGCTGCAGAAATGACTGAGTTGCTTTGTGGAAACCATCTTGGACTGGACTGACTTAAAAAAATCAATTGTAATGAAAACTTTCATAAAGTTTTAATATAATTTGTGCAGTGGATCATGATATTTTGCTAACAGTCCAACCTAAAAGTCTCCAATAGTTAATGGCAGTGTTTTAAAAAATGAACTTGTGATATCAGTTAGTGCTCTGATTATGTGTTGGGGATGTCAGCTACTACTATATCTAATTTTAGCTTAATATATTTACATTCGACTGTTGTGTAACCATTTTTAAACTACGGTAGTCTTCTTCAAATGTGGCTAACCCCCGAAAGTTAACTAGAGAAACTGCATTTCCTGCGAAAATGCAGTGTGAATGCTTGCTGAAGAACTTGCTAAAAAACAGCTGAAATCAGCTAAAAACATGCTGAATTTTAGCTGAAAAGAAAGAACAAGCCTAAATTAGCAGAATAAAGTAGAAAGAACACATATTTGCTGAATTAGGTTTAAACAAGCAGCATACGAAATTAGCTAATTAGCTTTTTGAAATTAGCAAAAATAGCTGAAACGTAGCTGAAAAGGCAGACGCAGGCTTAAACTACCAAAAGGAAGTGGAAAGAGCCGAAAAATAACCTAAAAAATGTGAAATTAGCTGAAAAGGCTAAAAATACTGTAGCATAAAACAGCTAAATAAAAACTTAAATAACAAACTAGAAGAAATAAGCTGAAAGGAGAAAAAAGCTTAAATTAGCAGAAAGAAGTTAATTAGGCTGAAAGTAGCAGAAATATTTTTCAAAAAGCTGCACCAATACCAAAAGTTACAGCAGGATATCCTGAAAAAGCTAAATGTTTTGATATATTTGTTGAAATAGCACAAAAATTGTGGAACGAGAAAGATGCCAGAAAAAAACCCATATGGAATAGGGATAACAGCCATGAATAATAAATATAAACAGGAAAACAATAGTGTGAATGCATATTCACACAATAAGTTGCAAACTCAATTAAAAGTTTTATTGAAATCCGTCCACTGGTTCATGTGATATTTTTCTGACAAAACGCAAACACGTCATCAGTCTTTGCTGGCTTTTGATAAATAAGCTCTCTTCCTCGTGGACAGTCATGTCAAACTGGTTCAAAACCAACGTTTCAGAAAAAAACAAACAAAAAAAAAAACTGTCCAGGTGACCTGACTGAAAATAGCTGGATTGTATACCTGGATTATTGAGCATGGACTTTGTTGGTTTTGAACCCGTTTGACATGACTGTCACGAGGGAGAGGGCCAGCACCGGAGGAGGGGGCGTGCCAAAGAGACCATCTTAGCACCAACATAACTGGTTTGTTCCACTTTGGAGTAAGCTGTTGGGGGAATAATCAGTTTTGTGTTGTGTGTTTCCTTGACTGAAGAAGCCTTCTGGATGGAAGGTGAAACGTTTCAGCACCAACAAAAAAAAAGGACACTGTCCTGACTGAAAATTGTTGGATAGCCTACATGATATTAATTCAGCAGGAGTCTCGAGACAACAGCGTCGTGTTTGATGTTTAAAAGTTATCCTCGTGCGTTGCAGCTTTAAACAGTCCATGATGCCTTGCGGTGTCCCAGTTCCAGGCAGGCGGCGGAGCAGCAGGAGCACTGAGCCGGGGAGGAGGAGAGGAGGAGGAGAGGGGGTATTTTTCCGCAGCTCTCTGCTCTCACCGCCGACAGGACAAACACAAACTTTCAGACAGCACCTCCCAACGTCATTTTCTTGTTTTGCCGAACCGTCCGTGTCCTCCTGCTCTGATTTCTGAACGCGCTTTTCTTTTCTTTTGACGCAGTTCTCCTCTGGAAGTGATTTATCGAGCAAACGGAGGAGAAGGACACATTTTTCTTTTTCTTTTTTTTTTTTTTGCGGAATCAATTCACGCTAATATTTTGTGTTTTTCTTCCGAAACTTCCACCCTGAGAGGAGAGAACTGAACCCGGTCCTGTTCGCACCTGAAAGGTAAAATGACGACCTTTTAAAATGTTCTTTAGCAGAATGAGCCTCAGCTGAGCTGGTTGTAGGATGAGGCAGAAATAACGGAAACATTTAGAGGGGTATCTCTGAAACCAGCTACAGCCTTCTTCTTTAACGCCATTGGGCTCCTCCAGTCTCCTAACTTGATACAATCACCGTTTAATCTCAAGATATCATGCTTTTAATTAGTCCCCATTTCTAAGTCCAACTCGGGACTTTTTGATGTTCTGTTGTTGGATCTTGGAGAGTTTCAGAACAGGCCAAAAATGTTGCTTTGCTCTTATTTTTAACGCTGCTTCTCCCATTTCTTACAGCACCCTCACACTTTCATCCTAAAAGTCCTCATCCTTTACCAGATTTCATGGAAGAGTTCTGGGTTAGTGCTGGTTTTGTGGATCCAGATTAGTTTCTTTCCACACCACTGTCTGACCTACAAATGCACACACAGTGCTGCAGGATCCACCTGTAGAGCTGTGGCATTCAGACTTCAGGTTTGATGTCCCCAAACACTTCAAGCATGTCTGTGCTGCAGTTAGCATGGACTGTGTGGCACTGCTTGTGTCAAAGCTTTTAGTTTAGTAAGTCGGCACCAGACGATGTTTTACAAACCTCAGTAACGTATAAATTGGCCAGATGCCTGTCGTAGAGCTGCTTGCAGTGCCTCTGCTCTGCTCCAGGAGCCTGCTGCTTCTACAAAGCTGGCCAGTGAGCAGTGAACATGGCAAGGGAACAAAGGCGGCATTATTGCTGGCTGAGCGTGCCGTCCAGATGTTGGAGATCCAGCCAGCGTTGACCTATCGAGTGGGGGAAGGCTGCTTCGGCTCCTAATAGTTAAATATCTGCCATGCAGACTGAGGAGACGAGTCTAGCTCCAGGGTGGGGGCCCCTCAAGAGCTCAGCTGTAGGAGTTGCGTGTAGCGTGACAGGATGTGGGTTTAATCTCAAACACTCGAGTCTTTAGGGAACTTACTCTCTCGTTTAGGCTTTAGATCAGTGGCTTCCAAACCTTTCAGATGGGCCTATGAATCAAAAGTGGCAAAGACTCGTGACCATGTCTTTTGTTAGTTGAAGTAAACATTGATAAGCTGTTTAACAAAAAAAAAAACACTTTCCATTTGTTAATACTGTTTCTATCTTTTTGAAATGGTTAAGAATAAGTACACTATTGACAGTCATTTATTTTTTTTAAATAATGGGATTTCTGTAGATCTTAAGAACCCCTCGCTTAGTGTTTTGACCAATAATGAGTTCTCAACCCCAACGTTAGGAGCCGCTGCTTTAGATCTTTGGGAAAGGGCAAGATTTATGCACAAAAAAAGTGTATTTTAACTTCTTCAAGGCAGATAATTTTGATACGGTTTGGTCCAGTTTATTAAGGCACAGTGTCACCTTTCTTTGCTACTACCGGCAATTTTCATGCCAAACATTTGATCTATAGACACATCTGGTAAAGTGTGTGAAAATCATTGATGCCATTAAAAAAATTATTCTACATTTGTTTTTACTTTAAAAAGAAGTGGATTCCGATTTAATCTATTCTGATAGTTTTAGACAAAACAGCGCCAAAGTCCTAATCACTATCCTAGTATTAGATAATCTTAAATCCATGTGATTCAGTGCATTCTTTTAGTGTCATTACCTTTCACTCCGTGAGCTACGATCGCCAAGCAGAGACAGACCCATAACTTTCTTATCTCGTAGTCACGGCCAGTAGCTTTCTCACGGCGCAGGAATGCATCGCCTGGTTGTTATCAGGTCCCACTCTGCAGGATCAAGGTTTTCTTCTGGTCTTTACCATGCTCTGTAATGCTTACACTTGTAGAGGGCATTGTGTACACACTGGGCTGGCATGAAGAACTTTGCGGCCCAGTTAGTCATGCAGGATGTTAAACTGTCAACATGGTGTGCAATGATCGCAAATTGTTGCAATTCTTTACTGATTTACATCTTGAGATTAGAGGCGTTTGCGTAGTCATCACAGCCAAGGAGCATTGAAAAGAACCGAAAATGATTTCTGCAGTTTGTTCCAACACAGCCGCCACCAGTGCCTCCACAATAAAATCAGCGTCTGGCTCTTGTTGCTCGCAGAGATCCTATTTCACAACAGATCTGTTGCCAATTACAGCACAGTATAAATCGCTAGTAATTACATGGTACTCTACTGCGTGCACAGTTTGGTAATTGACAAGAGGACTTGGGCTGTAGACTGATGTTGCTCAAGTTTGTAAGGAATCTCCTTTTGTTTTTCATTAAGCTAGAGTTTCAGAAGACGAGAAACCTTCACTGTAGTTTTGTTGAGCTGTATATTCTCATCCATCAGATTATTCTAGGTTCCGATTTTGTAAAGCTCTGAGCTGCTAAATTAGATTTTAGCCAATGCACATTTATTTCTTACAGCTAGAAGCAAAAGTAGTTCAAGTTTTTAGGTGTTAGGCCTCATACCTACGTGCAAGCTTGCAGCTTTCATCCATCTGTCCGAATGCTGTGTCTATAACCTGCCTGCCAGGTTCTTCTGTTCTTACCATTTTTGTTGAAATCTACAGTTAGGATTTTTTTGACTTTGGTGGAAACTGTATATTGTTCAGATTTGACCTTCAAGGTCCTAACGTTTTTGTTGTCAGTTCTTTCTTTTTTTTTGCTACTTTTACAGAAGAGAAATGCAGCAAGCCACATTGTTTTTTTATGCAACTGCTAGGTTCACATATGTCTTTTGTTTAAGCAGGAGCTAATGTTTTAATAGAAACTCTCGGGTTTAGTAGCAAATTGAACAGTTTACATAACTTATTAGGAATGGGAATCTCATGACTTGATTTAATTAGAATTTAGAGAGCTGTAAAATAATTCTTGATGCATTATAACTATCTTGACACATAAATGTCTATGGGTTATTTTACATGAATTCATCATTTATTTTCCCAACTAAAAGAGTGCACAATAATGTGTCAAAAAACTATTCAACACAGGCTGTTGACCCAAAAATAGCATCGATGCTAACGTAACATTAAAAACACCATAGAAGAGCTGATCCTGTCTATCACTGTATACACAAATAAAATGTGTCAGTGTTATTACTGTAAATTAATGTAAATGTTTGATGTTAAACTTTGATTCTGTTAATAAATGACCGCATTCATTTGATGGGTCAAAGAAAATTAACGTCTCACGTTACATTTTAATTATTCAATGCACAATATTATTCAGTCCAGAAAAATGAATGAATCCGTTTAATTTATGAATATATCACAGGTATATGTTCATCTACACTGGAAACAATTATGTAATGACTACTTAAACAGTTTTTTACAGACATGATCTTTGGGGTTCAGTAAAGAAAAGGTTTAAAAGATGTGAAAACACATATCTACTGCAACATTTTTGTACTACAGAAAGCTTCAGTAACTACAGAGTAGCATCTACTCCGCTGCCTCTCCTAAAGTGGCAGCACAGATTAACATGTACATTGAATTATGTATTATCATTCAGAAGCCTATGTCTGTGATGCAGTGCATCAAAAAATACATTTTACCTCCCACCTCCACACATTAGTAGAAAATCCACGTCATGTCAAGTTACACTGAAATTGTCTTCTTCACTCTGTAAAAACTTCCACACTGAAGACAACATTTGTTAACACAAGTTAATGCTGCAAATTAATGGTTGTGGTGTGTTCACAAACCAAAAAGCAATTGTTTGATCAACTGGTTAGTCAATCTGAAAATGGTTTAATTCCAGATGTTAGCTGATTGGTGTATTCCTTATGAATTCCTTTAGAATTATAATCTGCACATATTGTTTGCCTGTTTCAATATTTTCATTGTGAACAATAGTTAACAAATGTGAACAGACACTTGAATAGTAGGGATGCACAATATTGGATTTTCGGTCGATAACCGATATGCTATTATGTTAAAACTTATTTGATCGATACCAATACCAATATTTTTTCCACCTAGACTTATTTACAGAGAGCTTTCTCTGCTGTGGAGTTAAAATACTACATTACTCTGCATAATCTTTGTCAGTTTGGCCGCTATCAAATGCAGATGCCAAAAAGGGGTTTGAAAATGATGAAACACTTCAACTTGAATTATGTGTAAAGTCAAATTCATTCATGACTTTTACTCTCTCTAACACAATGACAACACTCAAACAGTGCAAATTTGTACATTTTCACAAATCTAAGCTCAACCTATTCACAAGCGACATGTAAAAAGCATATCAGTAGTAGTGCATTAATAGATATACTTGACAGTTTCTTAAATTAAAAATGAACTTAAAACAGAAGCCTTTTATATTGGTGTTATTTTGATGGAATGGCCAATGTCCGATATTTAATTTTATTGCTAATATTGGCCGATACCATGCCGATAATATCGAGCGTCATTATTGAATAGCATGTGCTTGTGAGATGATGGTTTCCACTGAGATCATTTTTCTCCAGGCTTTCTGTTCACTTTAATGTAATGAACACCCATTTTATGTTGCATTCCCATGTGTTCAGTAAAGCACTGAACAGAACAATGCATGGCCAGTTTTTGATGCTTGTAAATTCAACTGAGTGCACTGTAAAAGTAAATACTCCCCAAGTATTTCTGTACGGTTTGTTTTTCAAACACCCACATGAGCATATGGTCGAATGTTCACTCCCGCAGCCAGCTGAAGCCTTTTCTCTGCCAGCTTGCTCTGCTCCTCCTGTAAGTCTGGAGAATTGTCATCAGCAGCCGGGGAGGCAGGCTGTTCACTTCTTCTCATAAACACACCTCCACGTTCACAAGAATGCACGAAACACAAAACAAATGTGTGCCTACACTGAAATCATTTGGACTTGAGGTTTCAGAGAAGTTTACCGTCTCAGCTGAGCTTAAATAGAACTCACAGAAAAGCACATGCCCATCAGCTTCATGAAGTGCCTTTCTGGCAAAAGGCGAGCAGCACAAATCAGGAGC